GTCAGGGTCAGGGACCGCGTGCAGAAAAGATGATCACGGACGCAGTGCGTCACGGCCAGTGGGTCGTTCTGCAGAATTGTCACGTCGCCTTCAGCTGGATGGGTGACCTCGAACGTATTTGCAATGACACCACATTAACGGAAAACGCACATGCCGATTATCGACTGTGGTGCACCTCGTATCCCAGCTCAGTATTCCCCGTCTCGGTGCTGCAGAACTCGGTGAAGATGACAAACGAGCCGCCCAAGGGTTTGCGCGCCAATATGCATCGCTCATTTACCTCGGATCCATTAATGCGCGACAAGTTCTTTACAAACGCTTTCCTGTTCTCCGACCAGGCCAACAAATGTTGGACGCGCGGTGTCTTTGCTTTGGTCTTCTTCCATGCCGTCGTGCAGGAGCGGCGCGAATTCGGACCACTTGGCTGGAATATACCCTACGAGTTCAATGAGTCGGATCTGAAGTGAGTATTTCAGAATATTGTCCAATGAAAGGGAATATTAAGATATGGTGAATAGTTTCTGTAGTCGATTTCCTACATCTATATACGTTATTCCGGATTATCCCTTAACTTTCTCCTTCTAGAATCTCCTTGCTGCAGTTGAAGATGTTCATTGCACAGTCCCATAGTATACCCTTCCGTGGCCATGTCTATTTAACCGGCGAGTGCAACTACGGTGGTCGTGTGACCGACGACAAGGATCGTCGACTGATGTTATCACTGCTCAATATGATATACAATAGCAATACAATAGAGGTTGATAAGTAAGTAAAATCTCTCTTATAATCTGATATATGTATCTTTATAACATTATATCTTTCCTGTCAGCTATCCCTTGTCACAGTCGGGCAACTATTGTGTGCCACTGAGTCCAACTAAAGCGAATTCCATTGAGTATATCTCCACATTTCCGCTCAGTCCACAGCCCGAGGTTTATGGCTTGCATGAGAATGCGGATATTAATCGCAATGTGAAGGAAACCAATGCGGTGTGTAATAGAATAACACTCATATAATCATATAACATATTATAATGAATATATATCTTTGTATTTATCCTTCTCATAGCTCATTAGTGGAGTGCTGCTCACACAGACCGATTTGATGGCCTCGGTGAAGGCGAGTTCTGCAGGTGGCGCTAAAGAGGATCCCGCCATCGCGATATGTAAGGAGCTATTGTCGCGTCTGCCCGATGAATTCGATCTCGATGAGGTGTCCAAGACATATCCCGTGATCTATACCAATTCAATGAATACGGTGCTGCGACAAGAGCTAATACGTTTCAATCGTCTGCTCTCTTATATACGCAAGAGCCTGGTGAATGTGGGCAAGGCTGTCGTCGGTCAGATAGCGATGATACCCGAACTGGAGCGCACACACGCCTCCATGATTATAGGCAAACTGCCAGCGGATTGGTTGAAGAAGAGCTATCCATCGCTCAAGCCCCTGGGCAGCTACGTGAGCGACTTTCTGGCCCGGTGAGTGCGCTCTGTCACATTTCTATTTTTCAGCCATCAATGGGCATTGTGCTCCGGCTGCCACTCCGGCTGCTGCTGTTGAGTTCTTTTGCTGCAATTGTGCAAATATAATAAAAATGTATATGTGGAGTACATTCCATCCACCTTTCATATAACCCCCTAGCACATGTGCTGCTGTTGCCATTCATAGCGAAAATCTTATTTGCCATTGACATCAAAGGACGATGCCATTTGTGTGTGTATCCTCTTGGCAGTGCATTGTGCTTTTGCTTTGTGTTCAAATATTAAATATTTATTAACAAATTGAAAAATAAGATAACTCATCATCTACCCACTTTTTCCTGATATCTCCGCCTGTCCAGCTTGGCCTTCTTTCAGGATTGGATAGAAAACGGTGAGCCGAACGTCTATTGGATATCGGGCTTCTACTTCACCCAATCTTTCATAACGGGCGTACTGCAGAACTATTCGCGCAAAAATCGCTTTCAGATCGACATGATTTTCATTGAGTTTGCCGTCACCAAATTTGAGTCGCAAACCACGCAGGTGGCCAGTGTGGGTGCTTATATAAGGGTAAGTTAACGGCACTTAGACTGAGCAGTAAACCAAATTGAAAAACTTGTTAAATATTTGAACAATTTTACATTTGCTTACACTTTAAACTCTTAAGGAACAAAAAGAGATTAATGACGAGACAAAGTTTATACAAGTAAGAAAAACTTTAGTGCCTATTGGGAATTTATAGCAAGAAAATTAACTTAAATTTCTCTGTAGTTTGGTAGATAATTATATAATTAGCATTTCGTCAGAGTTTGATATATTGTTGCATTTTTTTTCACTTATTATCTTTATAATAAATCACACAAATAATCTTTCTTTAAGATCATCCAGCAGCGCTCTAATTACTTTTTAATTACTTTAGTCTTTATTTTAAGTGCAAGGTAAATGGGTTGTATAAGAATAACATTCAAAGTGGTACTAACAATTTAAGTTTCTTTCTAATTCTAAGCTTATTACATTAATAGCTTTGAGTCTGAGTTAAATTCTACTCTTAACATATTTTATTTCTTTATTTCATTCTTTCATTTGACTACATACCCATCATCTTGAACTCGTGTATCTTGTTTTTTCGAGTTCTAAATTAAATTCATATTATAGTTCGAGATTTGCAAACTTCTTATTCTATACCAATATGGGCCAAGTCCACGTTTCACGTTTTTGTCATTCAGCACGACTTTGCATAGCTTTCTAATTTTTGAGAAGAATCACAAATTTAGAACTCGTCTCTTTTTTCTTTTCTGGAATCAGGGCATTTTTATAGAGGGCGCTCGCTGGAATCGCAAGACTAAAGAGGTGGACGAATCCTTTTCCAAAATTTTATTCGATACTCTGCCTGTTATCTATTTACGTCCAGTGCTTCGAATGCCAGAGGACATACCGCGCAGCAGCGGTGGTGAGGTGCCACGCCCCAAAGCTGGCTCGGATGGTTTCCCCATTTACAATTGTCCCGTTTATAAGACCAGCGAACGTCGCGGCATTCTCTCCACCACGGGCCATTCGACGAATTTCGTAATGTATCTGCAGCTGAGATGCTCCCAGACGGAGATGCATTGGATTAATCGGGGCACCGCTTGCCTCTGCCAGCTGGATGATTGAAAATTGACCCACGGACGGGCCCCAAGCCGGATGTGCCACACAATAAGTTACACATATTATAAGCCAACACAGGGCGAACGGATGCATGAATTGAAAATGAAACTGAAAATGGCAGCCGTAGTGTATTTCACTGCGCACGAAGGATCGTCCGACCAGACCTGGCCATCATACATCTACATATATATATTTTTTTATTCTTGCGTTTTACATATATGTGTATATATCAATATTTTCCCCCGACGCGAGGTCCGGCACAAGCTGCAACTGCGATTCTATTTGTTTATAACAGTTTTTACCAACGGTGCCACGTGCCGGGCAGTGGCATTTTGATGATGATGTTGATTGCCAGATATAAATTAAATATGCAGAATACTATATAGCAATGGTTGAGAATATATGTATACGTATACAAATAAAAATATATTTTTTTGTGCGCCATTTACATATGAATAAATGACGAAAATGAAACAGGAGCATAAATATATATATATCATTGTGTTTTTCTATAGATTTTAAACTGGTCGGAAGCATATGCACTAGTTATCTTGAATATAGTTTAGAATTGAACGAAAATAGATTTTCCAAGGTCATGGACACCAGAAATATAACATGAAACAAGATTGAGAATGCTTGAACACATTCTAAGCTCGACATTCTCAGACGCCTACTTGAAAGATCACCATAATAATGTTTCAACTTGATGATTATGTTGCTGATGATGATAATCGAAAACATTTGTGAGATTTATTGCGTGTTTTGCGCACAATTGGAGCAGCCACAGCAGACTTGAATTTTAATTCAAATTGCCACGGGCCAAGCACATATGAATGTATATTATAAGCACATATTAGGAGAATAAAAATATGCCAAAGTTTGCGATTGGATTGAAAGATCTATTATATCATCTGGCTATTATTAGATGCCTAATGTGGCGTAACCGAAAATAGCAACACTCAAGAGCATTTCTGTCCATCATGGCATACACCACACCACAAAACGCACACACACTTCATTTGGCCTTAAGCGTTGTTCAAGAGACGCAAAAAAAAAAAAAAAAAAAAAAATTAAAATAAAATAAAATAAATAATATACAAAATAAAACAATATACGCAGCTGTCCATCAGTCAATAAACTGAAGAAGCGTCCATAATGATAACAATAATAACAACAACAACAACAACAACAACAACGACAATGACAACTTCCGCTTGCAATTACCAGGCGACTAGGCATTGAGTTGATTGTTCAGATTGACCCCAACCGCAGCCATTCATATGCAACACAGCCCATAATTTTTGATACAAATAATCGAGAAGATGAAGAATGCAAAGAGCCCTCAACTATTGTTGATTCTGTTAGCGTTTTGAGACAGTTAAACAAAATAAATAAAATAAGCAAACGCCAAATTCAGAAATCGTGGCCGCCACGTTCAACATGCTGTTGTTGTTGTTGTTTCAGCTATAGAAGTTTTTTTTTCTTATCGACATCGCAATCTATTGTTGGCTTTCGTTTTGTTTTATAAATAAATATATACGTATATATTTAGATATATGTGTCTTTTATATTATTTAGTATCTGAATGTTATGGCCAGACGACCGACTACAATTGATATACTTTTTGACTTGAGACACTTTTAACAATAGCAACTAGCCGACAAAACAAACCACCTAAATGCGGCTAATGCCGGCCATCAATGGAGTTGAAGTAGTCGCGTTGAACGAAGTCGATCGACATCAGCATTAGCATCAGACGATCTCAATCGTACATCTATGATGCGGTAGTTGCCGCATGGATCAGTAACCGGTTTCATTTTTTGGATCGTCTCTAAAGTGAATGGCAGAGTGGCTGCGGCGAGAACTTTTTCGCAAAATGCTGTGTATAAATAGTGTCGTAAGGTCTGGTTTCAAAACAGAATCAAATTTGGATTAATCTCATAGACACGCATCGTCAGGGAGCATCTTTTAATATGGTTAGTCTGTCAGCTTCCTACCTACTCTTGGAAATCAAGCACAGGACTAACTCAATCAACTAAAACTCCAACTTATACTACCTTTGCAGAAATTCTTTGTTATTGCCTTTGCTGTGATCGCAGCTGCTGCGGCTACATCTATCTCTTCGGAGTACCTGCCACCTGTCGACAATAACCTCGAAGTCGTCGCTGAGCCCATCGACCTACCCGTCGATCAGGGAGTGCTAACTGATGATGGCTACCGTTACAAGACCGTCCGCCGCCTGAAGCTCCGTCATCGTCGTGATGTCAACGAGCTGCCCTCCGCCGAGTACCTGCCCCCTGTTGCTGAGGTTGCCCAGGACATCAGCTTTGCTGCTCCCATCGAATCCGCTCCTCTGGCTGATGATGGCTACCGTTACAAGACCGTCCGTCGTCTGAAGCTCCGTCACCGTCGTGATGTCAACGAGCTGCCCTCCGCCGAGTACCTGCCCCCTGTTGCTGAGGTTGCCCAGGACATCAGCATTGCTGCTCCCATCGAGTCCGCTCCTCTGGCTGATGATGGCTACCGTTACAAGACCGTCCGCCGCCTGAAGCTCCGTCATCGTCGTGATGTCAACGAGCTGCCCTCTGCTGAGTACCTGCCCCCTGTTGCTGAGGTTGCCCAGGACATCAGCTTTGCTGCTCCCATCGAATCCGCTCCTCTCGCTGATGATGGCTACCGTTACAAGACCGTCCGCCGTCTGAAGCTCCGTCACCGTCGTGATGTCAGCGAGCTGCCCTCCGCCGAGTACCTGCCCCCTGTTGCTGAGGTTGCCCAGGACATCAGCTTTGCTGCTCCCATCGAATCCGCTCCTCTGGCTGATGATGGCTACCGTTACAAGACCGTCCGCCGTCTGAAGCTCCGTCATCGTCGTGATGTCAACGAGCTGCCTTCCGCCGAGTACCTGCCCCCTGTTGCTGAGGTTGCCCAGGACATCAGCTTTGCTGCTCCCATCGAATCCGCTCCTCTGGCTGATGATGGCTACCGTTACAAGACCGTCCGCCGTCTGAAGCTCCGTCATCGTCGTGATGTCAACGAGCTGCCTTCCGCCGAGTACCTGCCCCCTGTTGCTGAGGTTGCCCAGGACATCAGCATTGCTGCTCCCATCGAATCCGCTCCTCTGGCTGATGATGGCTACCGTTACAAGACCGTCCGTCGCCTGAAGTACCGCAAGCGTCGTGATGTTTCCGAGATTGTCAACGAATACCTGCCCCCTGTTGAGCAGGCCGTGATCGATGTTCCCGCCGAGACTCCCATCCTTGCCGATGATGGTTACCGCTACAAGACTGTCCGTCGTCTTAAGCTCCGTCGCCACTAAAGATACCCTCCCAATGAAATACAGGAACTGAGGTTGCCAACAAAAAAACAGGCTATGACAATCTCAAACGAAGTTAACATAAGCGTATTAGTCAATGAGAAAGAATTATTCGAGTACAAAAACAAGAAACAATAATAAACATGTAAAAAAAAAAATACTTTTGTCTTTTATCTCTGCTCTTTGCTAGCATTGCGCAAACTCCGTGTAAGTCTCTGCTTATCTTATCTTATCTGCCGTTAGTATTATGCTAACAACAGAGGTCTACAGATAAGATACGCGCACCTGTTGCTCGCCAAAAATCGAGTGAAATATTTCAGTTTCATTTTACAGTTTGCAACGAAAACGAGCTCCAACCTAACGAACAACTCAAAATGATGTTGCTCAAGAAGTTCTCCACCTGTTTGATGATATGTCTGGGTAAAGTTTATGTGATTTAAGTGTGTGCAAAGTTTTTAGTGGAATATATATGTCGAATGTGTCGAAGGTGCGGCCATGAAATGAAATGTGAAGAAGCTCCACTTCAAGAAAATACTAAAACTTGACTCAAATTTGTGCTCAAAATCTAGCGGAGCTTGAAATATATTAAGTAAAATTCTAATAAAGGATGTTGAAGAATAGCTTCAGACAGAGAAAATAAAGCTGTGAATTCGGTGTATAAATTAAGTTTAAACGGTGCCAAAAACGAGTTAAGAATGAAATAGATTTGATTTTTATTAGGCTGAATTTTCGTTTAGTGAATAAGCATCTACAAACAAAAAAATAAAATAAAGAAAAATATATAATTGGATAACTTATGTAAATAAATCAGTTCTAAACTTTGAATATATATTTTTTTAATTGAATTGCTTAATCTATCTAGCTTTTTAGAGTGTAGAAGCACTGTAAAACCGAAAAGCTATTAGCCCTTTCACAACAAAGTGGCTACAAAATGTGTAAAGTTCTAATGACTAAACCAACTAACAGCGAAGAGAATCTTTTTAAAGAGCTATGAGTAACATTACTATGTGTGTGCGTGTGTCATATAGAGAGTCTTAAATGTGTGGAGCGTTGACAATAAGTGTGTGCTTATCAGTTGCCTTCCACTGAAGTTGATAAGCTTCGCTGGTTTACTCACCAGCGTTGACCCAATCATTGTGTTTGTTTGCTAATGACTAATAGCTAAAGGTTAAATTGAACTTTGTTGTAACTGTATATGTATTTGGTATGGCTATCTAAATTTTTCATTCATTGCCATCATTTAATTCTAAACATATTTTCAATTTATTTAATAAATATTTGATTTGGCTAAAGCTTAATTTAATGCACAGCAAGAGCACTAGCTAATGCCGGATGTGGCTAAAGCTCAATTATTATTACACCATATCAATTATGAAACACGATGGAAAAACAATTAGTTTGGGCTTTGGCGGTTGACCAATGCATTGGTCGCAGTCTCTGCGCATTCGACTTTTTGGAACAAATTCCGATACTCGCACGATAATTAAATTTTTGAATATTTACAAAAGGCCGAATGTCAATCGAGACAATAGAGATATAACTATCTAAGTTGACATCCGCAATGGAAACAATAGTAAGCAGAGTAGACGTCAAATGAAGCAAGCCCCCCACGCTTCGCGCCATAGTCAGTAGCTCCCCACGAGCTCGATCTTCGGTTTCCATTCAATTTATCATCGAAGCTAACGCGCGCGCGCTCAGATCGTTTTATACATGTTTTGCTTTTGTTTTATTTTTTGGGTTGTTGCTAAATGTTTTTATAATAATTAATTATGAATATTTTAACAACGCTTTGCTATGTTTTTTTGATGAATGCTCAACTTCGTTTTCAATGAGTTCCGTTCTAGCGTCTCATCGTTCGCTCTGTTTGATGCGGACCACACACAATGCGTTCTTCAAATAATTGTTTGTGTTTGTTTTTGCTCTCGCTTTTTGCTTATTTCTCTTTCTCTCTCTGTATTGATAATCATCGACAAGGTGCTAAATATCATAATTTGTATTGTTATTCTTTATTTACAGTTCTATTGGCATGCTGCTTGCAGGAAACAGAGGCCACGCGACGCGTGAATCGCGGACGACGCACACTCACACGCAGATACTTTAGTAAGTCAAGCTGAAACACCATCAATCATTATCAATCAACAAAATAGTGGTGACATAAGCTAAATCGAAGTTTGCATTTTGTAAATTAGAAGCTAATTGATTATTTAGAGAGAATTCTTTTTAGATAATCAACATCAATCAAAGTAGTAATGACAATAGAAGAAATAAAGTTTGAAGAGATATTATCTTAAATACTATTTCAGATATTCAGATGCTGTAAGCTGACAGTCTTTAGTAAACTTTAGTAAATCAGCCTCAATCAATAAGCGCATTATAATGCCTCTTCACATTACTAATCTATTGACTCTTCATTGCAGCTGGCCTTGCCATACCTGGCTGGGCAGTAGTCACCTGCGTTGCTGTTGCAGAGCTCCTGCTAGGTGCTGCTCTCTATTTTGCCATGTATAAGATAATTCTGGACAAGGAACCAGAGCAAGCGAGCACCTATACACCGGCACCAACGCACGATCCATCGTCTGGTACAGCGCAGCCAGTGCAGCCGGCGCAGCCCATGCAGCCACTACATCCAGTGCAGCCAGTACCGGTGACACCTTCGCATGCCACGACTATTGCCTAAAAAAAAAAATAGCCGGAAGCGCTAATTGGTAGCTGGTGTCATTGAGTTAATCAAACCAGACACCACAAAAAAACTTCTATGCTTTTTATTTTATTTAATTCCATTTTTTTTTATCAGTGAATCGAATAAACTTTTATTACATATAAAATGTAAATTTGATAAAAGCTTTGTTTCTATTTATTGCGGTATTATTATCGTTTATTGTCCGAGTGCTTCTTCAAATTGGCTTGGCTTTTGATATTTTTATTGATGCCGATTTGTGATCCAGTTTATCTTCTAATATGTATATATGCATTTGTGTGTCGGCTGCCTCAAAGCGACAGATTGAAAGTTGTCTTAACTATTAAGTAAGGTGCTTTTGTTGTCAACTGAAACTGGTCTTAGACCAGAGTTGCTCCGACTTATTTAGCCGACCGTGGCATAACTTGCGGAGGCTATGAGAATTGCATTTAAGCTTACACAATATGTTGCAGACTTTTAGACGCCACTATAAATGATAGCTGCGAGTCAGTGATGCGCCGTTAGCTAGTGTTTGACTAGAAATATGTATGATTTATTGCAGAGCTCAAGTAAGTTGAATTAAAATGGGAAGAGACCGCTTGTGATGTGAGAGGAATCACGAAGAGAGTTCAGATTACAAATGAAAAAAATGAGATTTATGTCGAAAGAAATCAAGTTGGAGAGTTAATCGAAATATAAGAGTTGAAGCCATGAAATTTTATAGCTATAAAAAGGATTTTTTTTTTCATATTTGAAATGTATATTGTATTATAATCTAAACATAATTTAACCATCATTAGCTTAATTTATGCCTTAATCATCAAACCCTTAATTCCATTACCTATAGGTTCATCTATATGAGAATCTTAACTAAAATCTAAAATATTTAACTTTAGCCCAGTCTATATCGTTGGCTGTAACATCTGCCGCTATAGATGCCACTTGCTATGGCTGACACCCAATATCACTTGGCTGGCAAAAAAAAATTCAAGTCGCCTGCTTTGCGCTGACATATCGAAATTTGTTATAAACGCAATTGATAAATCCCCGAGCGGCACTTGAGCTACAGCTTCAGCTGAGCTGAATCTGCTACTGAAGCTGGAGCTAAAGTTCAAGCTGATGATGCTGGGGAAGCCGCGGGGCGGAACCGCACGGTCCGCTGCTATGGCAGCCAAGTAGCTGTAAATGCCAACAATTGGCGCTGCGCAAATCTTTGCTATAGTAACACGAGGCACAGAGACATCTAAGGGGAGTGGCGGACGTGGCCGGTGCCGCTGCCGCAGCCGCTGCAGCCGCATAACCAAAGCGGATTTCAAATTGACACAAAACAGACAAAAAGCAAATCGTTTAGGCGCAACCACCCGCAGACGAAGCAGTAGCAGCAGCCACCGCCGCAGCCCCAGCCACAATAGCAGCTCTATACCACACATGCAAGCACAGTGGGCCATGTGGGGCAGTGGTGCACAGACTGTGGGAAATTTGTGTAACGCAGCCAAGTTTAAAAACTGAAAAAAAAAAAAAAAAAAAAAAAACGAAAAGGCTTCCAAAAGAGGGCAAAGCTGGCGATACAAATGCCGGCAAAGCTAGTCAGGCAGCCCAGCCTGAAGGATACTTTGGTTTTGGTTGGCATAACAAAGCCACACACAAAGGACTTGGTTCCAGCGACGTTGTCGGTGTGTTTGTGTGTGTCTGCATTTGTTGTTATTCTTCTCATATGAGCGGCTTTATTGGCATATATATTGTTGTAACTGCACAGCGAGTTTTAAAGAAATGGCCAAACGTGCTTTGGAAAGCACTTTCGCCGCGATTGAAATTAGATATAAATAATTCCTCCATACATATTATAAAAAGTATTAGTGTAACATTTAATAACAATAGAACACTGGGAAATAATAGAGCTTATAAAGCTATAACTTCTAGTATGCTCAAAACTATTTAAGAATATAAATATCATATGACTACAAAGCTGTTTTGGAACTACTCAACATTCCACAATGCTAATAAAAAAAAACCTTGAAACATGTTTCTTATGTGTCGAACCAAAGCTGTTTTCAAATTATAAACAAAGAAACTGCTCTATATAATAGCTAATGAATTAGCAAGCTTTATTTAAGTATTTCTTAACAATAAATCAAAGTATGAATAACAGCAGTAATTCCGCCTGAATAAGTAATTAACCATATATAAAACACACATATGAAGCTAAGAAAATATTTTCATTCATATGCTCTGATATGCGAAACAGCTTTGTTTATAATCGGCTTAAGAGCTGTTTCCAATGTTTACTGAAAAAAATTAGATTACAGAAAATTAAAACTGTTATTCTAATTTCAAAAGCTAAAATTTAAAGCAGTTTCAATATATCAAAGAGAAAGTTACATGGAACGCCTCACTGAGACTGAGCT